AGCCCTTGATAGATGCATATAGCGAAACATATGCATAAAGAAAGCATCCATCTTCTGACTTGTGCAACTTTGTAACCGTTCCTGGATTTGTTTGCTCCAACATATAAAAATACTTCGGCAACTCCTTATATGAATCACTCAGACTCCCTCTTATCATTGCCATTCCTATTTCTTTAGCTCTCCATGCTTTCATGTAGCTCACTTCAATCCCGTGTTGCTTTTGTATGTCCTCTATTATATCATTTGCGGTGTAAACTTTTTTTGGATTAACATACTTGTCCTTGACTATACTAGCAATTATACCCGAAGTAGCTTGACGTTGTGTTAAGTATCTTTCACCATAGCCGCATGTGTGATTGTTATTGTAACTTCTCACTTTGAATATGTTTGCCTTGAAAACGGCAGAAGATTTGAAACTCCAAGCACAATTGTCATCCAGACATGTAAGGTGATACCTAGTATTATACATCATTCAACTTCTAAATACACTTGTATACAAACTGCATATATACTAATTTTAATACCTATATACAAATATATACTACTTTATACATATTTATAAAATAGAATATACAATTAATGACATACCTTGTTGCGCTTGATCTCTTCACCTTGAATTGGAACCTCTCGCGTACAGCCAAGTTCTTCATCACATTCATAAGTGTCTCTTTATCCTTATAAACTTGATCCTCCTCAACAAATTCGTTCAACATATTATCTATTATACCCGTGTTTTCACTAAATTTCGTATTTTCAATCAATTCAATATCAATAATCTCAGTGCTATCAGTTGTTGATACATCTCTAGAATTTGAATTTGTAGCAACCAAACAACTGGAACTTGAAGCAACCACAGAACTTGTAACAACCAAATGATTTTCATAAATCTCTTTCACTGTCACAAACAGGGGATATTCAGTGAAATTCAAGTTTTTCTTCTTTAATTCTATATACACCTTAACTCATGTATCGTTGTAAATCATGATCGGTGGCAAACCAACATTTGGGACAAAGTTAATCTCTATTGTGTTTAAATCACTATCGATCCTAATCTGCTCCGAAATAGCTGCAACTAAATTGTTGTAGTTGAATGTGGACTCGATTATTACACAATCACTGACGAAATTCACAAACTTATTTTCTTCCCATTCACCACTATGAAGAAGGTAAACAGGAAAAATCTCCATCTAACAAAAAATTGAAATCAAAATTGCAGCAAAAAGGAGAATTGCGCTGCTTCGTAGCAAAAAAATTGAATAAATTCTAGATGAAGAAGAAATGCTAGGGTTTTCGTACCTGCATTTATCGCAGTATCTCGTTTTTGAAGTATTTGGGGGAAGAAGATTGGAAAGAATCTGAGAAAATCCAGCGGAATGAGAGAAAATCACGTTTGGTAGTCTCAAAATACCGGAAATAACGCCCCCTTTCAGATATGGGCCTCTAATTTGTGGGCTACTCAATTGTAAAGTTAAATATGGGCTATAAAGTTGAAAAGGAGGCAGCCCACTTGTTTTAATGTGAAATTTTCCCTTTAAACTTCATGTCTAAGTGTTCCCAAATCATGTTAAAATCCGAGTGCGAGTTCGTAGGGTTGAGCGAGCTATACTATTCATGTTTTTAATGAAAATTATGTTTTGTGATATCTTAAGCATGTAGTGATATATTTTATTAAATATACACGAGTTATGCTTTAAAGTATGACAATAGTACCTCATGTTATGTTTTATAAATGATTTATGAATTCCCAAGAATTATAGATATGTTTATGATAGAAGTCATATTTTCTACTTATGACGTAATTTTGGACTTCATGTTATTATTCCACACATGACTGTTGCTTTAATGAAGTTATGATTTTCATACGAGTCTCATGACATGTTTTTAGTATTTATACCAAGTTCCATCAGATAATGATATATTGGATGTCAAGACCGTTATAAAGTTATGTATAAGGAAGAAAAGTATCACTTGATGTTTAAAATATTTTTGAGAGTATCCATAGGTCACTGGCAAATGGGTTCAACGCCTAGAAACTACACGTGCTGATTTAATTGTAACTGTGATCATTGGTTGAATTCATGCTAGCAAAGGTAAGTTGATCTGTACGGTATTGTAGTGAGAAGGCCCAATCAGGGGCGGCTGAAGCGCATTTGAGGCTTAAGGCCAAAGTTTAATGTGAGACCTAAGTATTTATAAGTGTTTAACCAAAAAATAGAATTTCGGTTAAAACTAGAAATTAAGAGAAAAAATCGGGTTACTGATAATCAGGAGACGAAAAGAATAAGAATTTTTTTGAGGATAATAAAGCAGTAAATAAGTTTGTATTTCAATGTAATCTCAATGATCTTTGGTCTCTTTACAAATGCTGAGACCTTCTCCTTTTATAGTTGATTTTTCTAGGAAAAGGTATAATGCATTAGCCTTAAAGAGGCAATTATGAGCATTAAATGACATTAAATGAAACGTTACACAATCATTCCTATTCAATACTGATTTGCTAACGTATTTGACATTCAATACTGAATTTAGACTCCTTTATGCCATCAGATTCATTTCCTCAATTCCTTTTGACCTCCTGGCTTTAATTAAGTTAAATAGATACGAGACTCGTATCATTTGAATAGCATCTCGTGCCTATTTAACTTTCTTCTCCTCGTATCTGATATTGCCCGTGCTTCTTAACTGATCATCATGTTTTGACCATTTGACCAGTCCACGTGTTATGCCACGTCACCTTCAATTATAAATTCAGTTTTTTCCCAATATAGATAGTCCCCCCACTTTCCATTTATTTATCAATTAACTATTTGGGAAGTGGATCTTCATTAAAAAAGGAATTTTTGCCATAATCAATGCTATGACAGTGTCGACGCTTCAATTGTCTCTTCTATTTAATGCACCATATACGTGTCACCTTCTCATTAGTTCTGCGATTTTGCAGCCTTTTTCTAAGGCTTCTTTAACTCCACTATTCACGAAGTGATAGTTGCCTTTATTATAGGCTTTCCATCATTACACTTCTTAATTATCGACGGTTGAGTTTATATATAAATTTGCCCCCTTTTTCCTTTGTCTTCTTCTTCACAAGCTTTTTACCAAATTTCTTGCTATTTACTCTCGTTCACTTCTTCTTCAGTTCATACCTTCTCACTATGTCGTCTTCGAATCCTAACCCTAAAAGAGTTCCAATTCTTGATAGTTTCTCCAATGCTCCTGCTAGACACAGAAGAGGTAGAGGAGGTGTGCTTCGTGGTACAGGGTCGGTTCGTGGTGGTACCTCTGGTTCCATCACTCCTTCTTCTAGTTCTGGCAATATCTCTAGAGGCTCTCTTTCTAACAGATCCACTTCTAAGGGCAAAGAACCTTCTGAGTCTAACCAACGCCTCTGGTTGAAGAAATTGTGCCAACGGATTTATCTTTCGAACATGACAAAGAATCCCTTTGTGACCAAGTGATTAAAGTAGAGAGAGCTGATAAATATCCCTCTTTAATTACTGAACCTTTGATTCAAATTGTTCGAAGAGACTGTCGTTGGAGAGATGACACCCACATATTTATTCCTACTCCACACCAAAGAATATCTTCTTATAGGGTTGGCTTTTCTTTCGTTTACACTTATCCCTTTACCTTGGGATTTATTCCTGCTATTGACCCAGTCATACATGATTTCTGCCATTTTTTCAAAATTTGTTTGGCTCAAGTTGGTCCCCTCGTATGGAGAGCAGTAGCTTGTTTGAGGTATATGTCAACCAAAGCTGATGTTGACTTTTCTTTCCCTCATCTAATTCATCTTTATCACCCCAAGCTATTCCGCAATGGTGTTTTTACCTTATCTGCAAGAAGTAAGAAGGTTTTGGTTAACCCTGAAGATAATAACGACCGTGGCTGGTACACCCGGTTTGTTGCTGTTCCCACAATTGATTTGGTGGGTGAATCAAATATTCCTTTTCCTGAGAAATGGAACTTTGCACGTAAGTATTTTCTTCCTTGCCGTATCTGCTTTCGTTATTTCAACTTCTCTTCTAATTTTATTATTATTCCTTTGCTTTTTTTGTAGCAACCATGGGAGATGTGGAACCCGTTCCTAATTTCCGTGGTTGGGTAGATGCTGTCTTGAAAGCCGTGCCTATGGAGGCACGAACTTGGAAATCTATTTCCAACAAACATGGTTGGAAAGTGAAAACTCACGGTATACATCCCTTTTTGCTTCTCGTGTGTTAAATTCTTTTCCCCTCTTTTAACTTTTTATCCTTCTTATTGTCAGGATTTGCTATTCGAGGGATGTCGGCTGAAGTAGCTATCGCCCTTCGAGCTTCTTNTATTGTTTGTGAAACTTAACTACTCAACATGACAACAAATGTAATAGGAAGCATTTTGTTTCCAACTATTTATTTTGGTCGATTCCTACATATTTTCCTATTGTGACCACCTTGTCCACACACAGAACACGAAAATGCCCTCTTAGACTCTTTCTCTGAAGCAGGCTTGAGTCTTTCCTTTTTTGGCCTTCCTGCATTCCCTCTCCCTTTAGGTGGTAGGACCACATCTTCCATCACCTCTGTTGGGATTACCCATAAACTCTCATCTGGCATCAGATTCACTGGAAATTCATAAGTGCTAAGGAGTTTATCCTTCTTGTAGTAAAAAGAGCAATACTGGCCAGGTTTCAGCTGCTGGTTCTTCAAAACCGCCCAAGCATGCGGACATGGAAGTTCATCCATTTGAAATTTTCCGCAACTGCATGTTCCCTCTTCAAGGCACACTATGTTTCTCCTTACCCCTTCAAGCACAGTATATAACTGATCCGTAGCAGGCCTCACCTGCAAAAGTTTTTTTTAAAAAAAAAATATTTAAAGAACATTATACATTATTATACAGAGTTATACATCCTTATACAAGCAGTAAAATGCAAGTCAGAAGTGCCAAGATTCATTATATTTGATTCATTTTACCGTCATTTGCTCCGATGCAATCAGATTTTCCCGAAGGAGTTTGTCATACTTTTCGCCAAGCTCTGTAGATGTCTCCATTGCACTTTTTCTGTTTTTGTTGTTCCACTGTTGTAGCAAATTTGTCATGTACTCCAGCAATCGCATTACTGGTAACTCTCTAGCATCCTTGTTAGCTGCATTAATTGACTCTGCAATATTGGAAGTCATTACTATCGACCTTTTCACCTTGGAATATGCTCTAGACCACCTTTTGGACCCAATTTCGAACAAGTAAGGCTGCACCCTCGGATCAATTTTGCACAACTCTGTCATATGGTACTCAAACTTCTCTATCGTGTAAGCTCTTGCCAAAGCAAAGAAGATATCCTTCAATTGTTTGTGATGTTTCTTTAATGTGCGCTTTACATTCTGCCACAAGTGAAACATGCAAATACAATGTGGTACTTCTGGGTACACAGCTTTTGTGGCATTGAAGATGCTTTCATTTCTATCTGAAACTATACACATCCCTTCCCTAACTCCAAAAGTACCTTTTATCTGGACAAAGAACCACTCCCAAGATTTGTTATTCTCTGAATCCACAATTGCATACGCAAGTGGAAGGATTTTTCCTGTTTATACAAAAATAGATATTAGGATTCAGACTGCAAATTAGTCTGCAGATACCAACTGCAAATTTTATACAAATCTTATACACAGTTATACACAATTATACAGATTTATACCAACTGCAAATTTTATAAAAATAGCAGCTGTGAAATCCTATACACTTTTATACATGAAACTAAAACATTATACAAACTGCAGAAACAATGTAGATGCAGTCAACTCACCAGCTCCATCTTGTGTGCAAGCAGTCAATATGGTACCCTTATATGCTGCTTTAAGGAAGCTTCCGTCAACAACCATTATCGGTCTGCAATGCTCCCAGCCCTTGATAGATGCATATAGCGAAACATATGCATAAAGAAAGCATCCATCTTCTGATTTGTGCAACTTTGTAACCGTTCCTGGATTTGTTTGCTCTAACATATAAAAATACTTCCGCAACTCCTTATATGAATCACTCAGACTCCCTCTTATCATTGTCATTGCTATTTCTTTAGCTCTCCATGCTTTCATGTAGCTCACTTCAATCCCGTGTTGCTTTTGTATGTCCTCTATTATATCATTTGCGGTGTAAACTTTTTTGGATTAACATGTCCTTGACTATACTAGCAATTATACCCGTAGTAGCTTGACGTTGTGTTAAGTATCTTTCACCATAGCCGCATGTGTGATTATTATTGTAACTTCTCACTTTGAATATGTTTGCCTTGAAAACGGCAGAAGATTTGAAACTCCAAGCACAATTGTCATCCAGACATGTAAGGTGATACCTAGTATTATACATCATTCAACTTCTAAATACACTTGTATACAAACTGCATATATACTAATTTTAATACCTATATACAAATATATACTACTTTATACATATTTATACAACAGAATATACAATTAATGACATACCTTGTTGCGCTTGATCTCTTCACCTTGAATTGGAACCCCTCGCGTACAGCCAAGTTCTTCATCACATTCATAAGTGTCTCTTTATCCTTATAAACTTGATCCTCCTCAACAAATCCGTTCAACATATTATCTATTATACCCGTGTTTTCACTAAATTTCGTATTTTCAATCAATTCAATATCAATAATCTCAGTGCTATCAGTTGTTGATACATCTCTAGAATTTGAATTTGTAGCAACCAAACAACTGGAACTTGAAGCAACCACAGAACTTGTAACAACCAAATGATTTTCATAAATCTCTTTCACTGTTACAAACAGGGGACATTCAGTGAAATTCAAGTTTTTCTTCTTTAATTCTATATACACCTTAACTCCTGTATCGTTGTAAATCATGATCGGTGGCAAACCAACATTTGGGACAAAGTTAATCTCTATTGTGTTTAAATCACTATCGATCCTAATCTGTTCCGAAATAGCTGCAACTAAATTGTTGTAGTTGAATGTGGACTCGATTATTACACAATCACTGACGAAATTCACAAACTTGTTTTCTTCCCATTCACCACTATGAAGAAGGTAAACAGGAAAAATCTCCATCTAACAAAAAATTGAAATCAAAATTGCAGCAAAAAGGAGAATTGCGCTGCTTCGTAGCAAAAAAATTGAATAAATTCTAGATGAAGAAGAAATGCTAGGGTTTTCGTACCTGCATTTATCGCAGGATCTCGTTTTTGAAGTATTTGGGGGAAGAAGATTGGAAAGAATCTGAGAAAATCCAGCTGAATGAGAGAAAATCGCGTTGGGTAGTCTCAAAATACTGGAAATAACGCCCATTTTTCAGATATGGGCCTCTAATTTGTGGGCTACTCAATTGTAAAGTTAAATATGGGCTATAAAGTTGAAAAGGAGGCAGCCCACTTGTTTTAATGTGAAATTTTTCCAATATATTATTTAAATACATAAAAAAAAACTAACGCTTATCTTTCCTTATTTGAATTAGGTAAGGGCTCCTAATAATTATGAATCTAAATCAATAAAATTTTACTTCTATAAAATCTTTCCCAAAATAAATTTTTTTTTTTCATATGAATATTAACTTAAATGTTTATCTACTTTGACGAATGATTTCTGTTCTCTATTAATTAGATTAGATGTGTTTGAAAGCTCTTGATTTTTGAGTTGATTTGGATTTGAACCATCGTTCTTTTTTTTTTCCCTTTATAAATTATACTTTTGTAGTACTATAAATAAGAATTCATGTACAATTGACCAAATAACATAGCTAATGTATTCTATTGTATCACGACAAATTACTCATATATTATAATCTACATCCTACCATGTTCTGTTTATCGGTATATTTTTGTCTATTCATTTATTTATAGATGAAAGTTATACCAACAACGATATAAATATATTTGGAATATATACCTAATTAAAAATTTCTTATCTTAAGTTATTTTTCTAACATTTGGGAAGAGATATTTTCACGTATACGAAAACTAGATATTTATGTAATTTTTAGAAAAATTATAGGATTAATATGGGTTACACGTGCAATGCGTGTACCATAAAACTTGAGCCATTAAATTAAAATTATATTAAACTATAAGGTTCTTCTATTATTCAAAACGTTATGAATTCACAATTTTTATATGTGACAAAAATACAATGACTCCGGAAGCACCAAAAATCCGAAATTGACATGCTAATGATTTTTTAACTATTTGAAAAATATAATTTATTGGATAAAGTTATTTATAGTTAATATTGAAAATTAGGATGAAAGAATATTAAGATTTGAACTGACAAAAAATAAGTTATTGCTAATGTTAAGAATAACAATAAAGTCTTTATATTAATTAATTAGTAGAAGAATTCAATTTAATTATTTTTCAAATTTACTATATAATTAAAGTTATTTCTCAATTTTATAAGAATCTTAGAAAATATAAATTTATTTTAGTAAGAAGAGCACTAATGGTGACAGAAATACGAATAATAGAGCCAAAATTAATTATAATGTACAATTAAGAGTCAAATGGATAACCATGCAAATTGAGACAATAATGATGAAATAGTATATGAGTAAATATATTATAAATGAGTTATCATTTGTTTTTCTTTCTTACCCAATGAGTAATCAATTCTTATGTGGTGACTTGGGGAGTAATCAATTATGAGGATATAATATGTGGTGATTGTAAAACTTTTGTAATATATGATTGTCTTCATTTATTGAGCTAAATAAATGAAAACAATATTTATTATTTTTTTAGGTTTTTTGCTTAAATATTTATTTTAAAATCAAATAAATTGTCTAATCATATTTATATTAGCATCTACAATCTTCTTTTCGCTTACGTGAAGCCTGTTTATCATCGATGTAAATATTTTTTGTTTTGTCCTTATCCTGTTTTGTGTGATTTAATTCTTTGCGCTCCGTTTGATATTTTAATTTTGTCCTTAAATTGATATGATACATATTTTTTTAATTGCCATCATTTATGTTTGCTATTGAATTTCAGATGGCACCCTAAAGAATGTTAGTAAGACTAAATTTTCAAGTTACTAATTTGGAGTTTGCTTTTTCCTCTTCTTGTAGGATTTAATTTTCTTGAAAATTGGGGAGAACAGAAAGATAATAAAGATTATCTGCTACCGCTCTTTATTTGTTTCCACATATATCGTAATATAATGTATTAAATTTAAGTTTGAAAAATTTGCCAATCGCAATGTTGAGCCGTTGAAGTATAACTTATTCATGTTTAACTCAATTTTCTCGAAAATTTTGCATTTTGCTCACAAGAAAAAAATGTCTTCTGCCAATTAGTTGATATTTGCATCTTCTAGAATGAACTCAAAAATATATAACTTTCAGGAAAAATTCAGAAAAACCTTTAAATGTTCAAGAGTTATGTGTGTTTTTGCTGAAACACAAAAGAAAACCTAATAACTTCTGAAACTGAAGTAACAAAATTATAAAATTGGAATAAATCTTAACTTGAATATATTCACTAAGAACTAGATTTCTTCCTTTATTGAGTAGATAATTAGGTTGCATCATTATGAGAAATTTATAGTTTTTCTTTAACTTTTTTTAATACTTCAAAATTCCTTTTATTGTACTATTAATATGATTTAAAAAAAAATATACTCATTAAAGTGGGAACACACGCGCAACACGCGTACCCTAAAGCTAGTAACATAAAAAAATAAGCATGTTAAGAGCCCGTTTGGACATACAAATTTTTTGAGTTTTTTTTTTGAAAACAATATTTGGACATACAATTCTTATCATTTTTTCCTTTTTCACTTGAAAATCTATTTTCAAATTTGAAAAAGTGGTTCTCACCACTTTTTCAATTGAAAATGGGAATTTTTTAGTTTTTAGTTTTTAGTTTTACAAATTTACCCCATATTTTTTAAACAATAGCATTTTGATTGTTTATGATATATCTTTTGTTGAATTTTTGGGCTGCTACTTCTTTTTCTTTGTAACATCTGATCTTCTTGATGCCTTTGGCTAATAATATTCACATACTTAATCAAAAACAAAAAAAGAAAAAAGAAAAAAGCATTTTGATTGTTTATTTCAAGTAGGATAATCAAATTGGGATAATTTTGATATTTTTTACAAGTTGTGGGGTATTAATCATGTTTTATGGTTTTGAAAAAAAAAGACATCCAAATATGTTGCAAAAATTATAACCAAACACAACTTCATCTTCAATTCAATTGTAGTGAAATTCCAAATTTGAAAAATAATTTTGGAATCATGTCCAAACGCCTAGCCGCATTCACACAGCCCTATGCCCCCCTTGTGGTATTCATCCGGATTTCTCTGTCCCAAGCCGGTTTGTTCACAAATCTCGGATGATACTTTTTTGCACGAATCCGAAGTCTTGACATGCAAAGTTATTGAATATGAACAAATAGGAAGTAATAAGTTGGGTGGACACTATCACTATAAAAAGATAACATAAACTTTTTTTTTTGTTGGAAAGTATGTAAAAGTTACTCCCCTCTGTTCTATTTTATGTGAATCTATTTCCTTTTTGATCCTTTTAAAAAAGAATGACCCCTTTCTAAATTTGGTAACAACTTAGCCTAAACTTACAATTCTACCCTTAATGAGAAGCTTTTATAATCACATAAATACTTTGAGCCCCTTTTTAACTTGTTTAGGAACACAAATTTCAAAAGTCTTCATTTTTTTTAAACTTCGTGCCAATCAAAAAAGTTTACATAAATTGAAACGGAGGGAGTAGTACATTCTAGTTCTAGTACTAGTATTAAAAGTAGCTCTCAAGATGATTTTCGTAAAATTATGGAGTAACATTTCCCGTTGATTTATTCGGACACTTGACCTATTCTCTTTCCGAATTATCCACGGTACACGATTTTCAAGGATAAGCCAAAAAAAAAAAAAATTCTTTTCATTATTTTACCACAAATCAAGTGGAGTATATAGAATAATGAATATGCCTCTAATGACCCATTAGCGGGAAATGGCCGCACGCCTCGAAAATCACCCATAACGTTACAATTTCTTAACCAATCATACGATGCCACGTAGGTCACGGTATAGCTGTTACCCAGCTTCATAAAACCCGTATTTGTTCCACCCACCGCACGATATCACCAGTCAAAACTTGAAAACAGCAAATGAAGACATTGATTGGTCCACGTGTCCATACCTTTCAACTTCTGTAAAATCTAGCCGTTTGCCCTATCTTTCACTCTCTCTCCTTTTCCCCTACTTTCTCTTTCCGCCATTGCTTGAAAACAAGAAAAAGAAAAAAAGAAATTCTCTGCAGAGCTTTCTAGAAATGGGGAAACTCATTTGCGACTCAACAACGTCGTCACCGGTTATTCCATGGCGGGATCCTACCTCAACTACGTCATCCCTCGATCTCGTTGACCAGTCATCTCCGGCGACAACAACCGCCGCCGCCGTCGCAGTCGCCATAGCTGACTCCTCCTCGTGGGAAAATGTTTCAGCTTTAGAGGAGCAGCAGAGGAAGCATTTGATGAGGATTCAAGCCAAGGGAGTGCTGTGGAAGCATCCTAAAGATCAGAACGCTTCGGTGGTTTTCCGGCTGAGCCACGGCGGAGAAGTCGAGGCAGACGGGAACTGTCTTTTTACAGCTTGTGGTAAATCTATGGGGATGACGACGGTGTCGTACGCCAGAGATCTGAGACGGCGGACGGTGCGGAGGTTCTTGGAAGATCTTGGATCTGTTGGCGAGGAGGAGAAAGAAGTGATTGAATCGGCGATTAAGCACATGTATTCTCCCGATCTGAAATCTGGGTGGGGTATTCATGTGGTTCAAGAGTTGAAGCTGTTAGCTAAGAAGGAAGATCGAGAGGCTCTCGACTCGGCCATATCTGAGCTTGTTGAGCTCGGCATGCAGCGGTAATTTCCTTTCTTTTTTCTTTTTATTTTCCGGCGGTAATTTCCGTTCCCTTTTTTTGTTTGGGGGGGGGGGGTAATCTCTATGACCCGAGTATTATAAGGAAAGAGGCCCAAGTGGAGTGAAATGTATTTGGGTTGATGCCTAATTGTTGTTATTGTTAAGATCTGGATAACAAAGTTTAGATCTGATTGCTTATGTCCGGTGTTCTTAGTTTGACATGCAAGAAACATTTCATTTGATTTCATTACTGAAACATTTCATTGTCAGTATCCTTCAATACTAACAATCCGTTTAGGTAATAATGGTGAAGATTTTTGGAAAATGCTTATTAATGAAATGACTGAATATATGTCCTTACTTTAGCTAATTTCATTTGAGATAAGAAAACGCCTATATGCGTACAACACTACTGATAGGTGCATTTTTTTTTTCTATCTTGATTTTCTTTTAAACTTTAATGAATCAACCATCTATGTCTCACTCTCCATATCTGTTTGGGTTATTCGAATCCTCTATTTTCATTCCCCATACATTCAGACTTATTTTCAGTATCTTTTCCCCAGAAAATATGCCATTATAATCTGTCCTTAAGTCCAAGTGAGATTTTTATCATGCATTTCGCCACAGAGAATATTTTTCTTTCTTTTTATTGTTCTTTGAAGTGAGAATTGCTTTTGTCTGTAATTTATTTGATAACAAGGAAACAAAAAAAAATCAAAACTTTGTTTGCTATTGAGCATTCTCTTTATCTGGCCGAGAAAGTATTTTCGAAACTTCTTTTTCTTTTTCTTGTATAGATGAAGATGGAGATGCTAGCAAATTTTGTAAATTGATTTTAGTTTGACCTGGTTGCTTTTATTATTTTACTGGATGTGGTTTTGTTTTCTGATTTTATATTTGTGGTTGACATTGAAGAGAATTGGCTGCTGAGTCTATATACAATGAGAGGTGCATATCTGTGGATGATGGCCCAAGTTGGGCCAAGTACATGTCGATCTGTGGTTCCGCTGATGATGAATATGATATCATCACTTTGCAGTATACTGAGGAGGGATTACTAACTGTAGATGAGAACAGGGATGGTCGTGCAGCTGCTTTTGGAGATGACATAGCGATTGAATGCCTTGCAACCGAGTTTAAAAGAGAGATCTTTGTGGTAAGAAAATGATCTTCACCATTGATCTCTCCTTTAACATGACAATTGCTGTCATTTGAATAATTTGCACTATGTTATTTGTGTGTGAGCTGCAATGCCCTTGTTCTTTTCATAGTTCTTTACTTGTTTGATAAATTATTAACTTTGGTTGGTACCACGACCCCCCCCCCCCCACCCCCCCCCCCACCCACACACACACAAAGGTTTATCCTCCTAAAATTCTGTCGGCCTTTGATAAATCAATTGATTGCACAAGGTCATTTCGCAACTGCTATGTTCCTTATTTTTGATTTGGTTCATCTCCTGGTCATGATTCTCTTTGTTGCTCACATTTCTCAAGTTGTGTTAAATTTTAATGATTTTTGTGACTCTCTTGAATCAAACAATTCTTTTGCTAAGCTTTTCAATTGGTATATCATGTTCAGGTGCAAGCACATGGATCTGATGCAATGGTTGATGATGAAAATTGTGTCTTCTTCCTCCCACATCGTCCAAGATCTGAAATATGTGAACCTCCTTTCTTCCTTTTCATGAAAGGAACAGGTAAAGAAAATTTCACACTGCTTAGATTTTACGTTCATTTCTTCCGCGCTGTAAAAGTGAAAGAGAATACATTGTCAATTGCAGGTTGGTGTGGTGCTGGGGCCGATCATTATGAGCCTCTTATTGCTTCTCCTTCACCTTATGTTTTGCAGGAGAAGGTAGCGTTGGTACTGTAGGTCATTAGTTGGGGTATTCTTGTGGGTTAGAGGTAGTAGTAGTAGTTATTCGACGATAATTCTTTCTCCCCAGGTTTCTTTTGTTTTTAGCATTGGAAAGATGCTTCTAATTCTTTTCTAGGGTAAAGGAGGAAGATGTCCAATTGGGACATCAAATTTTTGTTGAAGGTATGTAGGAGTTACCACATTTGGGTCTATTTGAAGTCCATCAGGCAGCTGCCTGCATTTCAGCTGCTTTTAGTTTGGTTTACCTATAGTTGTGTTGCCGGCTGTTTTTCGTTGTGCATTTTTTGAGGCTAGTAGTAGTTTGCTGCTGGGTACTATTCTTTTGAGAGCTGGAATAGTACTTATTTTGTTGTAACTCATGCTGAATTCCAATCTTAAGAAGGAAATGGCTTCTCTCCGTTCATTGCAATGAAAATTTCTCTACCAGTCCATGTTTCTCTTATTCTGTTTTTTTTAATCTCTATGTATTGATATGTCATTTCCCACCCTCGGGAGTCGTGATGGCGCCTATTAATGTGAGCTAGGCAAGCCAATTATTTGAACAATTTACCTTTTTACCCATTCTATATTCTTTAACAATTACGAAGAAATAACATTTTAACAGTGGAATTTAACATAAGCGGAAGAAAACAATAAGCTATCTGAACATGAATATCTAATACAACTATTTGAGTCTCGACTACCCAGAACTGGTGTAACAGTTTCACAGACGGTCTAAGAATACTACAAATAAAGGTCTGAAAGAAATAAATACAAAACTGTCTCTGGAATTGCATGAAAGAAACAGGACTACCTCGGGTCGCCTGATGAACAAGAATCAGCAATCCCACTGCGGTTCGAAGTCTACAACACTGGGATCTGCACAAAAGAGTGCAGAGTGTAGTATCAGCACAAACGACCCCATGTGCTGGTAAGTGCCTAGCCTAACCTCGGCGAAGTAGTGACGAGGCTAGTACCAGACTACCAAATAAACCTGTGCAATTTAACTATATACAGCGGAAAAGAAGTACAGAAAGAAAAGTCATATACAGTCAAGTATGGGAAGGGGAAGGCATGCTGCGGAGAAACATCGAATAGTAACAGAAGAGCAACAAATAAATACGAGGATCACCACAGTTCAGTTGAAAATAGGAAGGGGAAATCATGCTGTGGGGTACAACAAGTATCAACAGGAATCCAGCAATTTGGTGTAGAGAAACCGTAACATAGTTACCAAAAAAAAAAAAAAAAATAGGAAATCAAAGACAAGTACACGTCATCACCCTTCGTGCTTTTACTCTCTCTCACCAAAATAATGCACGGCATCATCCTTCGTGCTTTAACACTCTCTCACCAAAACAATACACGACATCACCCTTCGTGCTTTACGCTCTTACTCACCCAAAAAACAATCACAAGGCAAATAGGGTAAGGGAATCTATAACCTCGAAATAAAATCAAGTAACAACAGAAAATCAGTAAATAAACGTAAAGGACAACATAACTCAATTATCAGCAAGAATCAGGGAAATCAAGGACAAGTGCACGGAATCACCCTTCGTGCTTTTACTCTCGTCCTCACCATAAGAATCAATACAATAGGTACGGAATGGTACATCGTGCGACACGACATCACCCTTCGTGCTTTACACTCTTTCCTCACCATGAAATCAATATAATAGGCACGGAATGGTACATCGTGCGGCACGGCATCATCCTTCGTGCTTTACACTCTTTCCTCACCATGAAATCAATATAATAGGCACGGAATGATACATCGTGCGGCACGGCATCACCCTTCGTGCTTTACACTCTTTCCTCACAAAACAAACAATGCACAGCATCACCCTTCGTGCTTTAACTCTCTTCCTCGCCCAAACAACAATCACAAACAATAGGGCAAGGAAATAAAGAAAATTTGCAATAAGAATCCCGGCAAGGGAGCAACAAGCCAACAATTAAATTCCGGCAAGGGAACAACATCAATAGCATCAACATCCCAGCAAGGGAGATAACAAATAAATCAACAATAGCCCGGCAAGGGTGACGACATAATGATCTCTTCTCTTTCTCACTTTTACTTCACAATTCACCTCACAACTCGAGCCAATGCTCTAGAGGTTCAATTATCACTTATACCTTCGCAACTCATTTCACAACTCGAGCCAATGCTCTAAAAGTTCAATTGACACTTATACTTTCACAATTCGTTATACAACTTGAGCCAACGCTCCTCAATGTTCATAGGTTACAATTCTTTCCACAAACATTATACAACAAATAGAAACCATCACCAAGGCATGAAAGACACAACGAAGTCATGATAATCACAATATAAAGACTCACGGGCATGCTAGACACCAACGTATAGATACTCGTCACCATGCCTATACGTCGTATTCAATAATTATCACATAGCAAATAGGACTCAACTCCTAATCCCTCAAGCTAAGGTTAGACCAAACACTTACCTCGATGCCACGAACAATTCACAATCCAATTATAGCTTTACCCCTTGATTCCACCACCAATTCGCTCGTATCTAGTCACAAGTTACTTAATTACATCAATAAACGCTAAATGAATCAATTTGAATGCATGAAAATGGATTTTCCAAAGTATTACCCAAAAAGTCAAAATCGCCCCCGGGCCCACATGGTCAAAACCCGAGGTTCGAACCAAAACCCGATTACCCATTCCTCCACGAACTCAAATATATAATTTGTTTTGAAATCGGACCTCAAATCGAGGTCCAAATCCCCAATTTTTGAAAAACCTAGGTTCTACCCAAACTACCCAATTTCCCCCATGAAAATTATTGATTTTGAGTTGAAATCATGTTAAAAGATGTTAAGGAGTGAAGAAAATGAGTTAGAAATCACTTATCAACGTTTTGGAGAAGAAAGGTAGTTTGAAAAATCGCCTCTTATGTTTTTTGGGGTTTTGAAAAATGAATAATGAAAATCCCGTCTAAATATACTATTCTCAGATGCCCTGTGCGGACCACACAATGTCAACTGCGGCCGCACAGCACTACTTGTGTTCTGCAGTGACAGGTCTTAGTATTTTGGCCATAACTTTCTCTTTAGATGTCGAAGTGCCTATTATAATATGTTTCTGAAGACTAGATTCAAAGATCTACAAATTTAGTTTTTGAATCATCCCCAAATTCCTTGTAGATCAAAAGATATGAGCTTCCGAAGTCGCACCAGCGAATCTGTGCGGACCGCACAAAATCAACTGCGGCCGCACAGTCACCAGTGCGGACAGCACAAAAACTACTGCGGTCAGCACTGCGGGTTCAGAGGTTTGCACTTCTCTGAACCTGCAACATCCATGTTTTTAAGCCTAAGACATCCCGGAACCTACCCGAAACTCACCCGAACCCTCGGAACTCCAAACCAAGTGCACACAAAACCTCAAAAGCATCCTACGGACTTATTCGTGTAATCAAATTGCCAAAATAACCTCAATAACAACGAATTAAACCTCAATATCAAAGAATTTTCTCAAACTTCTCAAAACATTATTTTTTTTGCAATTTAAGTCCGAATCACGTCAAATGACATCCGTTTTTCAACAAATTCCATAGAAACGCCTTAAACATATATAAGACCTGTACCGGGCGTCGGAACCAAAATATGGGCCCGATACCATCATGTTCTAAGCAAAATTCATTTCAAATTCCTTTAAACAGTTTCAGAAAATAGTTTTCTTTAAAAAATTCAATTTCTCGGCTTGGGACCTCGGAATCCGATTCCGGGCATACGCCCAAGTCCCATATTTTCCTACGGACCCTCCGGAACCGTCAAATCACGGGTCCGGGTCCGTTTACCCAAAACGTTGACCGAAGTCAAATTAGTTCATTTTNAGTCCTACCTGTCAAACACCCCTAAGTATGCGTCTAAGATATAAGCCTGAATAACATCTGCTGAATTACGAGAATAATTACATGAAGGAAATCTACCCAAAAAGGCATACATACATACACGTACAACATACGTAGGGCGAGCCGACAAGGCTGCTAAAGACAACTATGCATCTCAAAACTGGAAGCCGGAAAGGCCACATACTATCCAACTAGACATACTGTCTACAGACCTCTAATAGAAATATCACTGTGCAAAGACGGGACTAAGGTACTTCATACCCATATATATATATATATATATACGTATCGTACCAAAATAAAAAGCAGCTCCGGATCAAGTGGAGCACGCCAACTCTCGTTGATCGGGGATCCTAAGAAGGGGGATCGTCAGCTTGCCTACTTGCACCTGCAGGCATGAAACGCAGGCCCCGTGAAATAAGGCGTCAGTACGAAAAATGTACTGAGTATGTAAGGCATGAAAATTTGTACGTAAAAGACATAGATGAAACATGGAATAAAGAAACAAATCTTTAAATCTGAATAATTTTGTAAATTCTGAAATATTTATAATGTCATGCACATACGTATAAATGTCGTGCCATGCATAGGTATGGGTGTACATAATATCATCAAGCCACTGAGAGCATCCCATCATATCGTCTCGGTCACTGTGGGCAACATCATCATCATCATATACAAGCTGATCTGGTGGTGGTGCGTATATAACACCGTAACCTTTTCCCATATCCTATATACATATACATATATATATATATATATATATATATATATATATATATATATATATATATATATATATATATATATATATATATATACGCGTATACTACGCCATGTGGTCATGGGTCAATGTACAATTATAAATGAATGCACTGCATGAGAAGTACGTATGCCTTTGAGTAATATCATGAAGTAAACTTTATCATCTTACGTATTTTCTGAGACCCATGAACAGACGATATAACAATAGGACATATGGGAATTCAAGAACAGAGGCACCTCTAATACTTCTATGAATAGAGTCATTTATGGAAGTTGTGCATTTGCTCATTTCGTTTGTATCGTATAGATCATGCTAAAAGGAAAGAACGGATAACCTTAACATACCTGAGCCGATTCTCTTGACAATCCCTCTAATACACGTCAATTGCGACAAAACACGTAGCAGCGGATCGAAATAGGGAAAAATCCGTATGATATTCTTGAGAAAGATTGTACCATGCTCCCTTAATTGCATCTCACGCTGCTGTAGCATTATGAAATTTCATATGAATTCATTTAAGAATTCATCCCTTGCTTTAGCTAATACACCTCCCCTTAATGATGTAGGAAGATGTTTTGAAATATTTGGTTGTAGCTTCATCCATCACTTAGAAAATACAAGCATCTCACTTAATAACATAGGAAGATCTCTTATAATTTTGTGGGTTGTGGGCCCCACTTATGTATGACTTGGCCATAAATTATTCCTCCAATTTTTCCACCTTTCAATGTGACGTAAGAGTAACTTAAATGATCATGTGTTGCTGCCACATTGGGGCTTCTTAAGATTATCCACTCATTTTCTTAAT